TGGGGCAGGGCTGGGGAAGATGGTTGGAGGCTGAGGGAGCAGGGCTGCTGCCAGCCCCAAGCGGCACATTGTAGCTGGGAGCAGGGCCAGGGAGTGAGGGCAGGGGTGCCCCTCTGTGGGGGCCTTTGTGGGCAAGTGATACAGGCAGGCAGCGTGGTGGTGCCCACCATGTGCGGGCCGCATACATGCCACCTATCTGGGGGAGGGGGGGTTGGGAGGCTGGCATGCGGCCGGAGCAGAGCTCCATGGCCAACTCTGCAGTGAGGGCAAGGGATGAGGGCATGGCAGGGGGGCGGGGGCTTGGGCTTGCACGCAGCAGCCACTGCCACTTACTTGGAGGCCTGTGGTGACGGTGACTGCCACTACCTCCAAAACTTCCCCACTGCTGCCACAGAGCTCTGCCCAGAGCTCTGCAGCCAGCCACCGGGTGGCAGCATGGTGGTAGCTGGGCGGAACGCAGCCATCCCCACCACCACCCTGCTCTGCACCACTGGCTGTACAGCTCCAAGCACGGCTCCACGGCAGCAGCAGGAGCTTGTGTAGGCAGTGGCAGTCACCGCTGGCACAGGCAGCCGCTGCCACTTGCCTGTGAGGCTGCATGTGCCAGGGGTGAAGGCCACTGCGTAGAAAACCTCCTGCTACTGCCACGGAGCCATGCTCGGAGCTATGTGGGCAGCGGCGCAGCGTGGTGGTGGGGCTGGGAATGGCTGAGTGCCACACAGCCGCCACCACCACCCCGCACTGCATCGCTGCCGTTGGCTGCACAGCTCCGAGCACGGCTCCACAACAGCAACAGCAGGTTTTGTATGCAGTGGCCATCACTGCTGGCACGGGCAGCCCCACAGGCAAGCGGCAGCCGCCGCCTGTGCCAGTGGTGATGGCCACTGAGTACAAAACCTCCCGCTGCCGCCATGGAGCCATGCCTCGAACTGTGCAGCCAGCAGCAGCAGCGCAGGGCAGTGGTGGCCGAGTGGCACACAGCCATTCCTAGCACCACCACCCTGCGCTGCTGCTGCCAGCCACACAGCTCTGAGCATGGCTCCACAGTGGCAGCAGGAGGTTTTGGAGGCAGCGGCCATCATTGCCATCACAGGCCTCCAGGCAAGTGACAGCGCCGTGTGCAAGCCCAAGCCCCCCCATCCCTCGCCCTGGCTGCAGCATCAGCCACGGAGCCGTGCTCCGGCCACATACCAGCCTCTCTCTCCCCCTCCCCTGGCTGGGCAGCATGCATATGGCCTATACATAGCGGGTACTACCACACTGTGCTGGGCATCGCTTTCCCACAAAGCCCCCACAGAGGGGCACCCCTGCCCTCACCCTCTGGCCCTGCCCCCAGCTGCGATGTGCTGCCTGGGGCCAACAGCACCCCCGCTCCTTCAGCCCCCAACTATCTTCCCCAGCCCTGCCCCATAGCCCCACTTACCTCCATGCTCCAGGGACGAAGGGCAAGTCTGAACCTGAGCCCGGCCTTGGCTGCCTCAGAGGCTCAGGCTCCATCCTCCCCACTCTCCCTCCCTGGGGGTTTCCCGCCCTTTTTGCAATTGGCTCCTGCAGGCTGGAGCTGTGCCAGTCTACAAGAGCTCTTTGCAAAGGTGGAGAATCCATAGATTTCTCTGCTAAAAAGAGAAATCTGCATTTTCTCCAAGAAAAACAGGAAATCCGTGGTTTTCTCCTTTTTCCGTGGGAAATGGAAAGCCGGGATCCCTGATGAACACTAATCTGACATAAGCTGCAGAAAGACAAACACCTGTGGCAGAACACTGACCTCCCTGGATGCTCCATTGCTGACCTCAGGACTGTTGCTCTTAGACAGAAAAAAACTGGTTTCAATGGGAAACTGTGGAACAAGACATCGTCCACAAACTAAACTGTATTAAGTATGGTTCAAACAGGGACTATGATTCTTATCCCATAACTCAGATTATCTTTTATGACACCTTTTTTCTTATGGGTTTTTTGCCTGTATACCTCTCATAGCACCCCTCATCCCCCCACTTTCCTTCCTACTGTATTCTAATCACTCACTACACTTTATACTCTGCTCTATGCTGTCCTTTCACAGCATCTGATGAAGTCAATTTGGGAGTCACAGAAGCTTGTGTGCTGTCCTCTCTCTTCCCCCACCCATATATCTTATTTAGTTAGTCAATAAAGGGGCATATATCCACCTTGCTTTCTGACTGACTTCAGACTACCATGGTAAACTACCTCTCTCTTCTCTCAGTTGCCTCCCAGGCTTCAGGTGCAGCAGCTTGTATCGACATCTGTATTCTGGTTCATGGTTTGTCTGACAGCCCATTACTCACAGTACTTAAGCGCAACACTCCACAGCACTGCTTCCAAACACAATTAACCTCTTCTTTCCCCATGTACACATTAGTCAGGGAAACTGAGGCATGCAGCATCACACACACATTTATACCATAAATAGCAAGACAAAAGGATAGTTTGTCATAGAAAATTTCAAGTGCCCATGTATAAAACGCCCAAATAAAACAATGTGGATTATAAACTTCATTGCTGAACAAGAAAGGTTTCTACACCTCCCTGTCTGCCATCTGACACCACCAGGAAAGAAACCCTGCTCAATCTACACAACAAAGAGCAAGCTCACAGAGGGACTCTCATGGACCCAAAGGACAGTTTTCCAGCTTCTACTTCCTCTGCAAAAATGAAGTTTATTTCCTACATATGGGGACTTTTTATCATCTTGAACTTTCCCTGAGCCTGATGAAGGGTGCATGAACCTGGAAGCTTGCAGAAAAAAAGATTTTTTTTGCAATTTCTCAGTTGGTCTAATAAAAGGTATCATTTTGGAACCAAGAGTTCTAGATTTCTGCATTTCAAATAAAACAATGTTTTTTGGTTGTAGCCATGTTTGTCTAAGAACACAGGCAGGCAAACTTCTTTGGGTACATGTGATATCTTTTATTAGACCAACTGAGTACTACTACTCAGCTGGTCTAATAAAAGATATCAAGTCTACCCTAAGGAGTACTAGTACTCAGCTGGTCTAATAAAAGATGTCACATCTACCCTAAGAAGCTATCCTACCAAATAAAACAATGAGACAAAGCTTAAGGAACCAATATCTCCACCCTTGCAGTTTCTGTTCTTGAAACACCTAGTTTTAGAGCACATGAAAAAATATGCTATTTTTAATGTAGTCGTTTTAAATGAAGCAAAATTGTTAATTCAACAATGGCAGCTGTGCCACTAAGTGATACTGACAATATATGAAAGGTTAACCACCACAAGGAAAATATTCACCCTTTGGCATTTACTAAGTTTTAGAAAGGCAGATTTCAATAATATTAGGATATATAGTCAACATCAAGATAAAGTAACCTCCTTTAGGTGTACGCCAATAGAGATTTTTGTGGCCGATACCAACAGCCGATTTCTAAGGAAGCATATTGGCCAATACCATGATCCGTACTGCCATAAGAGAGGCATCCTGGGACAAGATGGTCTTCATCTCTCTTCTAAAAGTAAGAGTCTGTTCTCTTATAGGTTGGCTGATCTCCTCCAAAGGGCTTTAAACTAGGTTTGTTGGGAGACGGGGAAGCAGAGGATAAGGAGCCTAGGATCAGCAAGGCACAAGCAATGCACTGGATCAGCCCAGGTAAGCACTAAGGGGCCCGACAGACATCAGGACAAGGGGGTACACCAAAGGCACCCATCGGGGGTTTAAATGTCTCTACATTAATGCTGGGAGCATGGGGAACAAGCAGGAGGAACTGGCATTGCGGCTTGCAAGCAACAACTTCAACCTGGTTGGACTAACTGAAACCCGGTGGGACCCTACGCATGATTGGGCAGTAGGCATTGAGGGTTACAGGTTGTACAGATGGGATAAAGTGGGGAAAAAAAAGGGGGGCGTGTTGCTCTCTATGTTAAACAATATGCATCCTCTATAATCAAGATGGGAACAGGGGAGGGCCAAATCGAGGTACTGTGGGTCAAGATACAAGGAGATTGGGAAGAAAGGCACTTGGTAGTGGGGGTCTACTATAGACCACCACACTAGAAGGATGAGCTTGACCTGGAATTCTCCAGGCAGCTCTCAGAGGCCCACAGGACAAGCAGATCTCAGAAGCCATATGGTTGTCATGGGTGACCTAAATTACCCTGACATCTGCTGGGAGGAGCAGTCAGCCAGATCTAACGGCTCATGTAAGTTCTTAACTGGCATACAGGACCTCCACCTAACACAGGAGGTATACAATCCCACTAGGGGAAATGCCTTGCTGGACTTGGTGTTAGCTACAGGAGATGACCTGGTGGGGAATCTGCAGGTACAAGGTAACCTAGGGGATAGTGGCCATTGACTGAATTCACTATCCGGCAAAGGGTGGGTAAACTAACCAACAGGGCTGAAGTGCTAGACTTCAGAAAAGCTAACTTCAGTGTACTCAGGAGATTAGTTAGTGAGGCATTAAAGCTCAAGAGCATTGGCGATATGGCAGTCCAGGAAGGGTGGTCGTTCCTCAAGGGAGCAATCCTACAGGCGTAGGAGACAATCCCATTACCCATAAAAGGAGGCAACGGGGCCAAGAAGCCTCTTGGCTGAACAGGGAAGTCCAGGAAAGCTCAAAGGCAAAGAAAGAGGTATACAGACTGTGGAAACAGGGAGTAGCTATCAAAGAGGAGTATATCTCCCTGGCTCGCACTTGCAAGGAATAAGTTAGGAAGGCCAAAGCAGGATTAGAACTTAGGCTGGCGACAAAAATTAAGGACAACAAAAAGTCCTTCTTCAGGTATACAGGAAGCAAAAGGAAAGCATAGGGTAGCGTAAGACTCCTACAGGACAAACTAGGGCAATTGGTGACAGAGAGGGGGGACAAAGCTGAGCTCTTCAATGAGTTCTTTGCATCTGTATTCCTAGACACAGACCAAAACAAATCTCCCATTTGGATCAGACAGACACAGGAGGGACACCAGCCCATCAACTGTTAGCGCAGACATAGTGAAAGGGCACATGGAGGGGCTGGATGTGTTCAAATCAGTGGGCCCAGATGAATTTCATCCAAGGGTGCTGAAGAAATTGGCCAGTGTCATGGCAGAGCCGCTGGCACATCTGTTCAAGCATTCATGGTGCTCCAGTCACGTCCCAAAGGGCTGGAAAAGAGCCTATGTGGTCCCTATTTTCAAGAAGGGGAGGAAGGAGGAAC